TAAACTGTCCCTTCTCCCAACAGGTTACTATTAAAGTGAGGAGATTCAAAAATAAGGCTTTAACAATGCTCTTTTAAGGTTGATTTGCCAAAAACAGAAGCAAAGGTTTATTGATGATGCAATGATTGAGAGACAATTATTTTTTTTTATATTCACATGGAACTAAAATAACACTTTGAGGCTAGGGGATTTTCATCCTTTCTTTTAACTCTAATGATATCCTTATTGGGTTATGTATAAATTTAGTCAACCAGGTGGCGGGGGTGTGGGTGTTCCTTAGACCCCAGGGCATGTATTGGCTAAACTTTTCTAAGAAAATCAGGGAAAGCACAAACATTATTGAAATAAAATAATTGAGCTGACCATACCTAAATTGCTTAGAGTGTTCTGACTTTTGGTCATGCGTTTTAAATAATACAAAGAAAATGTACATTATGACACTGTATTCTCTGCTCGTTTCATTCACCATGATTATAACATACATCATCAGAAAGGCATTTTCACACTGTGAGGACGAGTTTTCAGTGGCTATCTATATTCTCTCACCCACAACCAAGGACAATAATTTAGGAGCTGAGGGTTTGGTGTAAAGAGGCGTAACTAATTAATACGAATTTAATATCTGTGCTCTTCAATATATATATACTTTGGTACCATTTGATTTGGTAAATTTTATCTTTGCAAATGAGTGCTAGAATCCAACGGATCACCAAAATAATCACTCCCAGTGATAACCACTTTTCCCATGAATGAAGGCTGACCTTGTCCACTGGCCTTGCTGAACATGTTAGGAAATCACTAGACAAAGTGTTTCTTAAATGTTGTAAAAACAGTTCTTCATCTGATTTGCCTTTCATTCTTCTTTTCTTAAATATGAAGGCCCTCCGATGTGTATACAATTTTTGCTTTTAGCCTAACTAGAATTTAATTAGTAATTTTAAAATTCTGTTTTAGCATGTTTCTGTTCTATTTCTTCTTTAAAATGATCCTTCTCTCTAAGCAATACAGTCAGCCTTAAATTCTGTGGGGGAAAATATAAGAGTCCTTTAGTTTAACAATACTGAAGTTAAGTGATTATACATTTCTTTTTTAAAAGCAACAAAAGATTCATAAGGCACAAGGTTACATGTGGCTTTTCCTTGTAACCTGAAACTTTCTGAAGCATTGATTTCTGAATCTAGGATTCATTTTAGTTTTCATTTGTGTATCTATACCAACATCGTTAAAAAATTTTAGGGCTTTTGGTATATTTTTATTCCTTACATGTTAAGATTTTCTCTACCTTTAACTTGCCTAATTTAGTATCAAAAATATTTAACTGAAACTCCAAGTATTTAATAAAAAATTAAATTAAAAGTCTATAAATTTCTAAAATTGTCCACCAAGAGAAGCCATCACATTCAAGAAGAAAATCAAATGGCTTGTCTCTTAAGACACAACATGGAGATTAATTCTTTACCTAAGGTCTCCATTCTGAAAATAACATTCTGATTTACATTTGTACTCAAGAAACAAGTTTAAAAAACAAAACAACCTCCCTTTTTCTGCATATATTTGTTCACATTCCCAGAGCTGACTCGGGGTGTCCTGGATTCTGATCTTTCTAGTGAAGACATTGACTTGGAATCTGTGGTCCAGGGAAACCCATCTTAGGAGGAGATAGATAGACTCTACCCTGAGCAATTTAGGAAATCACTATGCCAACAGGAAAACATTTTCAAAGGGAAAAATAAGTAATAGGCCTGGAAGGAAAATTTTTCCTGAGCAACTGTGATCTCCTCACTAAAGGAAAATTTGCTTTTCAAGGAGAAATAACAACATACATATGATTGTGCAGGAAGAATGTGAACCTAGAAGTTTTGTTCCATCAAGCATTCATAATGTGAATCTAAATGCATATCTATTGTAGAAGTTAGTTTTCTTGGAGTTTAGAGGATTAGCTCCCAAACTTTAAATATAGTTTAAAGATGGATGAAGCAGATCAACTTGGCTGTCATTGAGAAAACAAACAACAGGATTGTTCCATATACCCCAGGTTATATGTATGTGTGCACATGTGTGTGCACTACACTTAAAGTATGTGGAAAGATGGATCTATCCTGCTTATCTAAAAAAACATTAGTTTGAGCAGACTTCATTTTATTTAGAGTCTGTTTAATAGCAATAAATAATAAAATACCATGCACTAGATAAACAATTAGCCTTTGCAAGTCTAAAATGAGTCACACTTTACAGCTGGCTCACGTATATGGCAGGCAACAATTCAGGTATGTTGCCATGGGGACAACTCAGAACAAGCATTCCAGCATGGGAGGAAAAAGGAATCTCATATTCTCCTTTTGAAGAATCCAGATCTATACTCCGGAGACAGCACAGCTTGTATTCCAGTGTTTTCCATTTATACTGAAATTCTAAGCTACAGGAAAATAACATGCAGATGTGCTGTTTGTGATTTGAAGAGTTTGTGTGTGTGTGTGTGTGTGTGTGTGTGTGTGTGTGTGCCAGAGTCTATGGTCAATATAATGATCATATTTAAAAAGTATAAGCATTAGATTTTCCACAAACTATCACTTATTCATAACAATTAAAAATAAGGCATGGGGCAATAAATACCAGCACCTCCAAAGTACTCACTCTTTAATTCAAAATCAAAACAGTAAGTGCTTGTATCTTTGATGCTCTTCAACTAACATTAGCCCTCTAACCAGCACCCAAAGCTGTCCTCACAGCACATGCGCAAGTGTTCAGCTACAGATGGTAACTAAGGGCACCTGGAGAACCTGAAGAGCCTTCTGCATCATCCTAGGGAAACCCTTAATGAACCGTAATTTAAAATTTTTGAATTTTCTCATTGTATTTAGTGACTTGAAAATCAGTAAACTGCATTAAACTGAATATTTTATTTTATCCAGAAAAACTTAATCAAATAGGACACAACAAATGGATGGCTTCTGGTAAGGAGAAGTGGGTTTCTTTGTGTGTGTGTGTGGGTGGGGGGATAAATTTTACAAACATTCTTAACTCATCAGTGAATCCACTAGTGAAAGAGACAAATCCTAAATGCTTCTTGAGTGGTCTGAGAGTTAGCACCTCCCCCAAGGGTCAGCAGCTGGCTCCCTGGTCTTCAGCATGCACAGGCTCCCTATTAGTGCACTCACAATTAGTCCAGGGTACTTTTTAAAGGTTTGTTTTGTTTTGCTTGCAAATAAGAAATGCAGCACAGGCCGGGCGCGGTGGCTCACGCCTGTAATCCCAGCATTTTGGGAGGCCGAGGCGGGTAGATCACGAGGTCGGGAGATGGAGACTATCCTGGCAAACACGGTGAAACCCCGTCTCTACTAAAAGTACAAAAAATTAGCAGGGCATGGTGGCAGGTGCCTTTAGTCCCAGCTACTTGGGAGGCTGAGGCAGGAGAATGGCGTGAACCCGGGAGGCAGAGCTTGCAGTGAGCCAAGATTGTGCCACTGCAGAGCGAGACTTTGTCTCAAAAAAAAAAAAAAAAAAAAAGAAGAAGAAGAAGAAGAAAAAGAAATGCAGAACATGAAATTTCAGACAGAGACTCAGTGCAATACAAATGACCAGGATTAGACACACACACTATTCAATAATTGAAATATATTTCATGGTATAAGAACTAAAAATATTGTTTTTATATTTTTTCCAAATGTCTTTTCAAAGAGTGGTAGTTATAAATATCAGCCATTACTTTGTGGAAGAAATCTTTAATCAATTTCAAAAGTTACCTGCTGTTTTTAAAATTCATACTATAAGTCGGCTGAGTTCACCTCTTTACTCCTTCACAAATGCCTGTCTTGTGCTTTTCTGGTAATACTTTAACTTTATTAAATGTTATTACTTGGGTTATAAGCAGTTATATCAAGATATAAATTTATAAAGCAACACATTTTCAATACCAACCATCGATGTCAACTTATTCCATAATAGCACATTCCATCAAATTAAACTGCAAAAAGTTTCCCACATTTGTTTTACATTCTATATGTATGGCTTATGAACAGAAATTTTAATGAATTCCAGCTGGTTTGAATATGCTGGCCAACTCTTATATAACAGATTCTTTTCAATTCTTATTGTATTCAGTGAGGCCCATTTTAAGTGGGCCACCTGGTAGGATGAAGCACTAATATATCTCCATAGAAAAAATGAGAAAACAAATCACCCAGCTAAATGTAAGACCATCTTCTCAAACTACATGACTATTATATTTCTAATATAAGTGAGAAATAGTTCTAATCTTTTGGAAAAGTTGAATTAAAATTTAAACAAACTAGCAACTCTATGAACGATTAAATTGCTCATCGATCTATATGACAATATTAGAATAATTTCCACCATTCCTGTGTGTTGCCTGGTTTCACAAAGCTATCGTACACATTTCGGCCACCCCCTGCATTCCCCACACCCGCCTGCTTCCATCCAGCTGGAAGACATCAAGGGCACAGAAGCCAAGTGAAATGTTGACCCCACCCTCCTCCATCCATTTTAAGGCACCTTCAAAGCCAGAACACTGATCTAGTTCAGTTTCATCAACAAAGCCAGCCATACTGCTATTTGAGACTCCAGTTTGGGGTTTTTGTAACTGCACATTAACATAAGAGCTTTGAGTTTTAGTCAAAAATTTCAGCTGCACTGAATTTCATCAGATTGCTCTACCCTTTCTGCAGAAGAGTCCTCATTATTAAATCTTCAAAATCCTTACTCTCAGTGTGGGAGCTCTTTCCTTATAATGTCAACCTCTCTGAACTAGCCAATAACCAACCCTGAAGGATAGAATGCTTCCCTTCCCAAAAGTCAAAACAGAACAGCCATTATGGTGGTGCAAATGCACATTTTCCCCTAAATTTGCACACCCCATATAATTCATGCACTGTAACAGATGACAGTCATTCCAGCATGCACAGCAACACTATTGTCAAGACATGCAGGAGCGGAGCAGGGGCTGGGGGCACAGAAGAGCTGCAAGAGGACAAATAACTTACTTTGTTGTTCCCCTGTGTGTGTAGCCGCAAGGAAAAGAAAGAGAAATATGTTAAACAGAAATTTATTTTAAATTTATGAGGGTTTTTTTCTTCTTTCTCTGGATACTAAAAAAATAAAATGATGAGGTTTTTCTTGCTAGAGTGAAATCAAAGCAAATGATTTAACTATTCACTGACATCTCATACATACACATACAGCATCCGGAGCTCATGGACAAGTCAGAGAATCCACATAGGTTACATGAAATCATATGTTTATAACAGCGGAAAATTATGACAGTTCCCCCTTTCTTTCTATTTGGAATACTTGGGGTATGGGAACATGGCCAGAAAGAATTGGTTTGAATCAGTAATAAGTGAACTGTTAGCATGAAAGGCAGAGCATTTTGTGTGCCGGCTTGCCCTTTCCTGACAGCTCCTCCTCCAACATGCCAAGCAGTGGAAAATTTCAGCAGCCAGTGCATTTTTAAACAAACACTGCATCCTTGGTTTCAAAGAAGGTGGAAAAAAGAAAAAAAAAAAAAGAAGGAAAAGAGAGCAGAGGAAAGGAGTGGGTGGTTCTGGGGAGACAGGGTAAGCAGACCAAGTTACGACCTCCATCTGGACCATTCCTTTATTTTGTAAATTATGAGTTTTGCCTTAGGTTGGCATGGGAAGCAAGGACTGTATAGTGGGGATGCTGCCAAAACAAACATGAGTCCACACTCAAGAAATGGGTCTGGAAAGGTTAGTCACAAAAATGTAGTCATTTCTAAAAGCGACTCTCTGGGTAAAGACACAGAACCGCGAGCAGCAGGCGGCAGGGCAAATGGCTCTCCTGTTTCAACCCTGAGCTGCAAGAGTATGATTTATATCAAACAATTTAACTCACATATGGCCTAAAAAAATAAGACGGTGATTCATTACTCCCGGGGCAGCCCAAGTCCTCACAAGGTCAGATCCTGTGGGGGAGACGTGATGGGATATGGGCCGGGAACAGATCTGAACTCTTCTCACAAGGGGCCCAGAAGGAATTTCTCGCTGAGACACAGGGTGGAAGAGAGCTGTGAGTAAAGTGTGTGCATCTGTGGAGACCTAGAACCGGGTGGAGTCACAGGTCTGGCTGCAGATCTGGCATTTAGTTTTAAGTTGAGGGTGCGGAGGGGGAAATAATATATACAGATATTTTCTGGAGAGCAATAAGGTAATGATCCCAGGAGAGTTTGTTTTCTGGAGAACAATGCCAATTCATGATCTAGGCAAATGCCCAATCCAGGGACCATCATATTTAATAAAGAAAACGTAAATTTAAAGACACTGATAAAGTAGTGAAGAGAAGTTTCTTGGCATTGTGAGTTGCTATGATATAACCGTTAACACACTAGCTTATCTGAGACATAAATAATGGCATAAGAATGAATGAAGGGAAAAAAAGAGTCCTTTTTAAAAATGATGCCAACTGTTCAATAAGGCAATAAAGATCCCCACTAGGAATTTTACCAGGAATAAAAGTCTATTTTAGAGAATAATGGGACCCTGGTTCTCCAAAGAAGTGCAATATTGCTGAAAATACCTCAAACAGATGGAGTTTATTGCATTCCACAGCAGTGCAGCTTTTGATCTACCAAATAAGTTTCAGGAGTTCAACCAAGTATTTTTGCACATTAGGGAATGACTGGCTTCCCCACTCGATGGCAGATGGTTCTGTTTGTAGTGGCAACAATGATGTCACAGAGTAGGAGGCCTTAATCCTTAAATACAAGAAACACACAAGCGGAGGACGTGGTGTGGCTTGGCCATTTCTTGTTTCATTCAATCATTTCCCAACTGTCTATTCTGAGAGAGGCGTAACAGTCATGAATGGTGAAATGTAAATGCTTTATAATTCCCTTCACTGCTCTGTGTGGCAGCAATTTATGTTTAGATCCCTGAAAGCACTTCATTGAAGAAAAACTACGACTCTTCAAAATTGGTCATGCAGCTCTTCTAAGTTCTGCTAAAAATGCTAAGAACAAAGTTATGTGTTGGGTGCTAAGTACCGGGCATTTTAAGTCTTGTATTATTAGACTGCTGAAAAAATGCAAATGAGGCGTCAATTCACCACTTTAATGAAATATGTAATGCAGGTCTGTTGCCATTCCTCTCCTTCTCTACAGCAAAACAAGCAGAGACTTTTTCTTTTTTTTTTTTTAATTTATTTATATTATTATACTTTAGTGTGTTAGGGTACATGGCATAACACGCAGTTTGTTACATATGTAATACCTTGTGCCATGTTGGTGTGCTGCACCCATCAACATCGTCCATTTACATCAGGTATACCTCCCCAATGAAAATCCTCTCCACCCCCACCCCATGATAGGCCGGTGTGTGGATGTTCCCTTTCCTAGAGTCCATGATCTCATTGTTCAGTTCCCACCTATGAGTGAGAGACATGCGTGGTTTGTGTTTCTGTTCTTGTGAATAGTTGCTGAAATGATGTTTCCAGCTGAATCCATGTCCTCTACAAAGGACACAACTCATCCTTTCTTTATGGCTGCATAGTATTCCATGGTGTATATTGCCACATTTTTCTTATCCATCTGTCCTGATGGACAATTTGGGTTGATTCCAAGTCTTTGGTATTGGAATAGTGGCTGCGAATAACACGTTGCATGTGTTCTTATATAGCAGCATAATTTCTAACCTTTGGTATATACCCAGTAAATGGGAATGGCTGGGTCCATATGTACATCTA